GGGGGGCCCCCGGGGCCGCCCCTCCCTGGGGCCGGGGGAGCCGAGGGAGGCCTGCGGGCTGGCAGCAGCCTCCGCCCGAAGCCCCTCGCCCGGGGCTTCCCGGGGCAGCCGGCGAGGAGGGGCCGGTGTGGGGCCGGGGGCTCTCGGGAGACCTCGCCTCACGGTCCGGTTTTATAGCAGTAGGGCAAACCATCAAAAATAACGGGAAAGCTTTGTAAAGGATGAAGTGTTTTAATTACCACTATCATCATACACGCACCCTAACCGAAGATGTAGTTAGCATCGCTCCCCGGGGCTTCCCGGGGCAGCCGGCGAGGAGGGGCCGGTGTGGGGCCGGGGGCTCTCGGGAGACCTCGCCTCACGGTCCGGTTTTATAGCAGTAGGGCAAACCATCAAAAATAACGGGAAAGCTTTGTAAAGGATGAAGTGTTTTAATTACCACTATCATCATACACGCACCCTAACCGAAGATGTAGTTAGCATCGCTCCGGACAGTTTTGCTGCTCCGGTGCAGCTGCCCTGCCCGGCCCTCCGCTCCGGCCCGGGTTAGCGCTTGCTAAGGGCGCCTGCCTGGCAAGGCTCGGTGCCTCTAAAGCTGCGGCTAGACAAGTTTTGCTTAGGCCAGCTCAACGAGAAGCTATATTCTTTTGCCTGGTGAAGAGGCGACAGTCCCTGAGCTCCGCTCGGCTCTGCGGCCTCGGTGGTTGCTCTCCGAGGGGTCCCGGGGAAGGGTCTCTGTCAGCTTCAGCGCCTCTCAGAAGGGTTCTTCTGGCCCAGTGTTTCTGACTGATTTTTAACAAAACTAAGGAGCAATTTAATGTTATTTGGTTGGTGTATCTCTGGGAAAGATAGCAGGTGGAGAGGTAAACTTTTAACTTGATTGCATCCCAAGATTTATTTTGGTTTTGTTTTTTTTACACTTAACGTGGATGTTGAAATCAGTAATTTATGAGAGTTACGAATATGCCAAATCGTTGAAAGACATCTATTTGAAAGTTGCAATTAGCTACTCAGATTTACGGTAGTATTTCTGTAGAACTTGTTGTATTTTAAAGCATAACTGTGGTTGGTCAGTCAAGTGTGTTACTGTATTATTTATTTCAGGTATGTGGGCACATTCAATGACAGTTCAAGATTACCAGGATCTCATAGACAGAGGATGGCGAAGGTAAACTTAAAAAGAAAATAGAAAGCCTTGTTGGCAGTTTAGATACAACTTAGAATCCAGATTTAAAATTTAGGTCTGTGAAAACAGTTAACTGGTTTCCATAAGTAATTGAAATAGAACTATTTGTCCAACGCTCTGCGATTTTTTGTAACATGACATTGTCAAACAGGAAAATATTGTTATTTTAGAAGGGTAGTATTTTAGTATAGCAGCAAAAGGCTCAGAACTTGCTTCTTGGCTTTTGTTTCTCGTCGTGTAATATTTTGATGTTATTTTAACAGAAAAGGTTGGTCTTCCATTTATTTTGTAGCATAAGCAACAAAAAATCAATACGTATTTATTATTATTTGTAGAAGTGGAAAATATGTCTACAAACCTATCATGAATCAAACGTGTTGTCCTCAATACACGATAAGGTAAGAAGCTTAAAATATACTATTGTAAGTGATTTGGCCGCTTCAAATATGTTCAACCATTTGTGTTCACTGCTTTAAATACATAATACTTGAAAAGTTTATCTACTTTTAATGATACTTTGAACACTAAATATCTGTTGTTGGGTTTGTGCACAGGCACATCAGCGGCTCAGGGATGTTTTCCTGCAAGCAATCTGCTAAGTGTGTACACTTGCCTTTTGCTTCTGGGTTGCAAGCCAAAGCGAGAGTCCTGTGGTTGCTCTCTTGCTCACTGGTTGCAGATGAACCACTATGTCTGTATCCCACTGCCTTAGTGGCCCAAATAAGAGAGGCTGTCAGTTGAATAGGTATGAATAATTCTGGATACGCTTTTCCAGCATGAGTAGTCAGTGTCAATGCTGTATATACAAGATGGATAAGTGAAAAATTCTAGTATATTGGCCTCCTAGGAAACCTTTTTTATGCAGTGCTTGAGGTCATCTTGGCATATTTTAGTGATTATAGTGATATACACACAAAACGTGCCATAAAGAATGATATTATGCAGTACAAGGCAACATAATTTTATTAACTCAAAAGTATTGATAAAATATTTGACCGCTTAATATAGGGAAATGTAAGAAATAATTAGAAAATACATATACAGTGTAATTTTTTGAAGTGATTCCTTAACATTTTTTTCTGAAATAATCTTTCACAAAATAAATGGTCATAATTTCTTTCTTTTTAAGGTGCCAGGCTTTGTGTTTTCAGACCTCCAAATCTCACAAGAAAGTTCTGAAGAAAATGTTGAAATTTATTTCCAAAGGAGATGTTTCGAAAGTAGTAAGTGAAGGTAAGAAATTCTTGATGTTTGAAAACTAATACCGGTGCTTGAAAGGAGGATCAAATACCTGCTTGAGTGATCAAATGGCTAATACGCTTTGATTTTTGAATATAGACCCGTTTATAAAGGTCTGGGGAGGTTGTGTCTTTACAGTGTGTTTTGAATCAAGAGCACTATGTCGCCCAGAGACCAACTTGTGCAGCTGACTTGCTCTATTGAAGAATACGTTTCCTTACTTTTTGCATAGACCAGCTTATTTTCTTTTTCATCTCTGGGTACATGCTTACTTTCTAGTTGGATGCCATAGAGAATTAGACTCTGCTTTTACCTCTGTCATAGAAGTGATAATCTGGAGAGGACTAAGCAGGACAGTGGGTGGCAGAGAAAAGGAAGTTTTTCTTCCACGTGATTGAACAGTCACATCCCATTTATCCAACACCAAAACCTTCTCAGTTGTGGTGGAACTTGTCTTGGTTCTGAATCGTTACAATTTGCCTCTTTTGTGTGGGTGTGTTAGGTTTTTGGATTTTTTGTTGTTGTTGTTGTTTGTTTGAAGTTATGGCATGAGATTAGTTGACTGCCCCATTTTAGTGGAGGAAATAAAACTCATAAATGAGTTGGTGCTAGTAATTCAGGGTCCTAAAGGAAGCTTTCTGTTTTCAGACTATTGCAGTCACTTTATGGGAAAACAGTTGTAAAATTGGAAGTGAGTTAATACTAATGTTAATTGTGCAAAGTGTGAGCTGCGGTTATACAGAGAGAAATTCACTCATGCAGTTTTTAATTATTTGCAGAAGAGCCTATGGATTCCCATATAGAGGATGTGGTCGCCTGCGACTTTGCATACAAAAGTGAATCTCAGGTCAGTCAGTCTGAACTGACTCCCTTGAGTGTGGATGACACAGAGGGGGTGGAGAATGAAGATAAGGACACAGAAGAAACAAAAGAAGAGGTGAATGTGCAGAAGGTGGAATCGGGTTCTCTTCACATATGTGCAGATAAAGACACACCAGTCCCTGGAGAACCATCACGTTCGGCTAAAATTGTTCACGCACCACCTAAGCCAGGTAGTCAAATTTCTAGTAGTAACTGGAATATACTATCATGATTTCGCAATGTTGTTGAAGTCCTTTTTATCTTGCCTAGTAAATCAATAATTGTTTCTCCCTGAGTTGGAGTCCTTGGTTGTGCAAGACTAGGAGCTGGATACAGCTCTGGCTGGTGCTGCAGGAGTGTTAGTTACTGGGTTAGCTTGAGGCTTGGAGTGCTAGTTACTGAGTTAGCTTAAGGCTTAACCTTGTCTCTTGTGCGGCAGTGGGAAACCAGTTTAAGCCCCAAGAATAACACCCTAGGTATTGTTTTTACATGTCTTCATTTCTGCAGGTCATCTTGTTGTAATAGAAGTTGTGTTGCTTACACCCTGTGAATACACCCCTGTGTTTAACACTATGTTTTTTATGCTTTCATAGACCACATTTGCTACAGATCTAACTGGCATTGGAAATATGTTCAGCATGTTGTTGTGTTGTTATTTTGTGGGCTTAAAGAAAATTGTATAGCTTTCTGCTGATTTAAAAAAAAAAAGTACAGATTCTTCTGGTCCTCTATAAGCAATGACATTTTCTAGTTGAGCTTTTTTTAATCTGCTTGGGAGCTTGCCTAGGTTTAGATTTTTGGCTAAGTTTAGATTAGAAAAGCAATGTCACTAGAGGATGTGAAATTATGAAAAACTGTAGTAATTTCTCCTTTTTTTTTCTTGCTGTGAACTTAATATTACATTTCTGTAAGGAAGTGCAGTAAGTATGTACAAGAAGTAAGGTGATCTCGCTCATTTTACTTCTGATGCATTTATACAGCGCTACAGCTCTCCTGTGCCAAAAACTGAAGGTAAATGCTTATTCATTTCTACAGTTTTGTGTGAAGGTACATGGAATATTGGTGGCAGTTTTAATATAATGGTATTAATAATTTTTAGTGTAATACTAATTTTAATAGTATGGTCACTTTTTTCAATATGGAAGTTATCCCTCAGTCAAGCTTTTGTATCGTAATTGTAAAGATTTCTGAAATGCTGCCTTTGGGCTGAATTCAAACATGAAATCTTTACCCTAAAAAAGGATAATCTCCTTGTCAGTCATCCGACTGTAATCTTTTTCGTGTGATAGATGTTACGGTACCCCTTGCTGTGGCATGAGAGCCTGGAATCTACGTCTGCTTGCAGTGGTGTTAAGCTTTTCACATAGCTTGTTGTGACAGGGAGGTGTCACGGATGAGCGGGCTTGTGATAGCTGGCGTGTCACATATGTCACAGCTGGTGGGTGATCCTCTGCGTGGTCCGATCAAGCAGAGGAGTCCTTCAGGGTCCGTGGGCTAAAAAGAAATGCTGGAAACTACTGCTCCCAGGACGTGCCCACAGAGTGCTGCGGGTTGCCTCTCCTACGGCTTCTCTTGTGTCCTGGCTGTGTTCCTGTGGGACATGGGTGCTTTCTGGAAGGAAGATGGTAAGGAGTGGATGGATTATTGCCAGAATAATTCATTTGACCAACAGCCTGCTCTGGAAAAGAGGGTAGAATTGCTGACAGGCTCTTTGTGGCCCAAAGGTTGCAGATGAGGCAGGCTTGTCTTACAGATCACGTTTCCAGTTTTGCATAGCCTCTACAATGGCCTGTTTAGAAAAATAAAGGGTATTTTCTGAATTGCAGTTAGCCAGTACGCGGCAAGTAATGTTAGTTAAAATCCTAGGGGGACTGGATACTTCAGAGTTTCTGCATGTGTTGGGACGTCATACTAATTCCTAATTTCACTCACCTGTTACATGTTGTGCCAGTATTTATGAGAACTTCAAAGTGCTTTTTCCTTCACAAAGGTTTTTGTCTCCTTCTATAGGGTGGCTAATTTCAAGTAAAATAATGGTTTTTTTTTTTCCTTAATGAACACCCACTCCAATTGGATCGGGTTTTCATCAGCTTAACCAGCAATTTTGCATCTAAACAAAAAGGAAAGTTTTCAGAAATGCTTGACCAGAAAACGAGTAGTGCTGCATGGAAGCAGTACTGTTACACGTTCCTGGAAAACTATTCCAGAATTTTTAAGACTGTATTTTATATTTTGATTTTATAAAATGCAGTCAAAACTTTTATAGCTCTTATATAGTTCATAGTTTATATAACTTTTATTTGTTGTGCAAATTTTCAAAACCCTCTTGTTTTTATAATAATTGATGGCAAACTTTGGGTTATGTAAACATCATTTTGGAAGCAAACTAAGTGGATATTGACAGCAGATGGCAGTCTTGGGTAAATTATTAGCGTAAACCTGCCTCACCTTTGAAAAAAGTGAGGTATGGTCTTCTGTTGTGTTAAGAATAACATCGGGTAAAACTGGAAACACTGGAAATGCAGATAAAGCAAGCCTGAAACATTGTTTGTACTCTATTTCAGAAAAAGAGGATTTACTTTGATAGAGGAGAAATATGCATTAGGGTGCTTCTCTCTTTCTGGAGGTTTTAAATTAAATATAAAAGTAAATAATAAATGCATCAGAAAGCTTATTTAATTTGTGCTTTTTTTTTTTAAGGGTAGGTGGTGTCACAGGTCAAATTCAGTTTAAAATTTTCCAGATAGAAAGATGTTTAGTTTTCATCTTGGAAAATGTAGACTTATTCCATAATAAGATTGTTTAATTGCATTTTTATTCCTTTATAAGCAAAACAGGTCATTGTCCTATAGGAATAATGGGCTTTCTGCACAGTTTCAGGAAGAAAAGAAGGTTTGCTTATGTCTATATACACATTCATTGTTTTAAAAAGTTTTCCTTGCTAACTTACAGCTTATAGCAGATATGAGACATGAAACAGATACCAGTACAGATGAAGTACTCAAACATTCTTCAAATTTATCATGAATATTTTAAATAAACTCTTCCTCTGACTTGTTTGCCCATGGACAGGTCACATAATATCGGTAATTTCCTCATAGTATTTGTCCTTTTCCGGTGAATAATTTTATCTGTATGGATGAAACAAATACTGAAAAACCTTTGCTGAGAGGTGAGAACACTCAATCATAAAATCTGCTAGTGCAATCGTAGGCTGTCTGAAGAGTTGTATTAGTGGTATTAGCTGTATTGTTGTATTAGTGGTATTAGCTGTTGTTGTTGTTGTTGTTATTATTATTATTATTATTTTATATTATTATTATTAGTTGTATTAGTGGTATTAGCTCCTTCTCCAAGTCCTTGAGACGCTCTCAACATTTCAGCTGTCACGGAGGCACAACCAGACTGGGACTTTGCTGGGTGAGCCACGAAGAGCTTGCTGCTCACTTGCCCCAGGAGTGTGCTTATAAACTCTGTAAATTCAGTATGGTATGCACATTAAAAAGAATAGTTCACAGCTTTACTGATACTTGAAAATTGATCCCGATATAAAGTATTTTGCCAATTTCTGTGGCGTATCTATTGGTAAAGAAAGATGCAGGCAGTGGCTCTGAGGGCTGCGGTTCTTTGCAGGTGAAGTGACTCTTGAACACATCAGTGAGCTTTTAAAATATCAGTGCTCTCACCGTTTCCAGTTTGAAGGAGGATATCACTGTTCCCATTGTCCATGGGAAGGTTTGAAGCTGACAGAGGACAAGAAAGATGTCACTTTTGGCTAATAAGTTACTAGTAAGAAGAAAGAGGAGGAAAGAAAGCTCTAACTATGTTTTCACAGGAGTTCTGGAAAAAAACAATTTCCATGTAAGTTCCAGGCCTCCGAGAAAGTGAAGTGGGATAAGCTGTACTTAAGTCCGGGTTTGGATTCTTCTTTATTTCTTATAAATATTAGCAGAGTTGGAAATGTGTCTTCTTCCTAATGCTTCAAAAGAAAGCACCTCATCGTTCAGGGTACTTTACCATTTGAAAAGGCAGGTCTTTCAAAAGTTGCCAATGTGTCTTTTGCGGATACATGGATTTCAGGAGAAAGTGAATGGCACAAAAGACTTCTTCAGCAGTTTGTCATAATATTTGTTACAGTTTTTGTTCTGTGTAAGATGTATGACTGTATTTCCCTATAGGGGAGTAGTTTTTTCCACTCTTCCTCTCCTTTTGAATATTTTAATATTACAGCTCTTTTTTTGGCCTCTACCCCATCTACCACTGCCTTAAAAAAAAATAATAAAAACTGGAGAATTAGAGTTACTTTGTATTACATTAGCTGGCTGCTGATGAAATTTTGAGTGCAACTTTCCCTCTCTATGGAACTCGCAACAGCAGCTGCCAGGCTGAGACCGGTATTCCTTGAAAATGGATGATTTGTCCCCCCGCTGTTGCCAGCGTACAGCTCTTACACAGCTTCTAGGGTGAGGTATCGTGTTCGGTTGCTTGTGTGCGCTACATGGAATAGCCAACAACGACGTACAAAATTTAAGGAAAGATGAAAGGCAGCAATGAGAGTGTTAGGAAAATGTTTCTTGCTTTTTGTAATTTTTACAAATTTGAATTTACGGATTTACAGTCAGTATTGATGAAAATAATACCGTCTAGGGAAGTTGCTACTTGTAAATAGATCCTTTCAGTGCCTTCAGTGGGTAGCATGGGGACCAGCCATCTTTTTTTTTTTTTTTTTTTCTTCTTCTTTTAATTGAAGAAAATTCTGTATTAATTTTTCTAGTACTGGCATTCTTATATCTTCACTTTTTATCTTGCATTACTGTCCTAACTATAAAATTAATCTGGTCCCTTTGTGGAGGAATTTCGACTGCTTTACATTTTTATTTGTGCATGCCTTTGGAACTACTAAGTTCTTGTATTACTAATTACTATTTCCCGTGCACATCCATTTGTTTTCTAGGTTTGAATTCTCTTTCAAGTAAATAGCATTTCACAAATAGAATGCTATGAACAGTTGATCTGTTAAAGATGAAGGTAAATTGATAAAAGTGAATCAATTAGTAAAAACAGACAATCTGAATATAATTTTAAGCAAAGATGTAAGCTTATGTGGCCTCTTACTCTTCTTTTACCTGACGTTAGTAGCATTGCCAGTAATGGCACTGGTGTTGTCATTTCTATATACTGCATAAGGATTCCAGGTGACAAAAAATAAATGCTTTTTTTTGTGTGTGTGTCTTCTACAGGAGTCTGTCGTGTAGCCACCTGGGTTTTTGATGCAGTAGAACAATTCTCTGTGAATTTGACTGTGACGTTTTGTGGTTGTGTTTTTTGACTTTCAGTATTTCAAGTTGATCCTGTAGCTGTTTGGAAGTAGTAGACCATCATACCATACATTAAACAGGAGCTTTTCTTTGTTTCTGAGAGGGGGATGTGGCAAAATGATTTAAGGACGGACTTAGCAGGAAGTCTTTTCATTTTAGTTTTAAAATATATTCTTGGCTCTGGAGTGGAATCGTGGTCAAGGTGTTTCCATATTAAAGTGCTGTGTTAAACAGCTGTAGAGGAAAAATCACTGCAGCTTAGCTTTGTTGGCATCAGGTGTTGTCAGTAGTTGTAAATGGGAAAAACATGTTATGTTCAGACTGTGGTCTGCAATTAATGGATATTTTAACCATTTATTTTGAGTGATTATGTAAGAACTACTTGTTTGTTGCAAAATGCGGTGTTTAATTCTTTGCTGGTGCCCTTGCAGGCAAAGGGGCTGATCTGAGCAAGCCACCATGTCGAAAAGCAAAGGACATACGGAAAGAAAGAAAACTGCAGAAACTCCTTCAGAACCAGAAATGTGCATCTGAAGGCTCTCCGCTTCAAGCAGGAGATCAAGTTTTCCTCTTGCAAAACTCTAAATCTAAAACAAACCAACCTAAAACCCTAGAAGACTTCGTTTTTGTCTCTTTACCTGATGATGCACCACACAAATTAGAGGTAAAGTCTCATTCACTGTTGTTGGAGGCAAATTAAGGAAAAGTCTAGTTAAGGAGTTTTTGAAATGCTTGAGTGTTGAGTATTTGTGACTTTATGGAATGGTTATAGTTTAAATCTTGTAATATATGTGGTACTGCATGATATATATATATATGGTGCAGCTGAGCTGTGTGTAGCCACAAGAGGGTACTCTTGCCCTTGCTGTCAGTCGTAGCAGAGGCCAGTACAGTTACCAAAACAACTTGTAAATTGATTTCATACAGCATGACTTGAAAATGAAAGACTTTGAATTAACTGAGTGTTGAATGATGAGAGAGATTCAATATTTAGTTCTTCAGTATATAAATACTTAAACTTTCTATGCTAATGAATCTTGACAAGAAAGCAGTAACTGTTCATAAAATTAAACAGATAAGAAGATAGTTGCTCTTTCTAAACGTCATTGATATGTGTTGATGTCTTTGAAAGCCGTAAAAGTGATGGTAGAAAAATTTGCTTAATATACTGGTTGCCATTAAATCTATTAGCAATACGGAGACAGTCACCTGGAAGACTTTTGGACTTTCTAACCCATAAAACCAATTTTTTTTTTTTTTTTTTTCCTTCCTGGAAGCTGGAAAACTATCTGAATATAAGTATTTTCTTGGAGTTACTATTATCAATGATGATATTGGAAGAGAAATTTTTAATAGTCTTTTGGTAATTATTCAAAAAGATAGTGATGATGAGTTAAAAGATTCACCCTGAATAACTGACAAGAAGCCATGAAATTGATCCATCTCCCTAACTCCTCCGGATTTGCTGATGAGTTGTATAACAGAAGTACGATGGCTTTGTCTGAACATCTTCATTTGGAAGATGCAGGGAGAATTAAAAGGAGGATGGTTCCAGCAGTGTTTTCCCAGATTGTCTTTGCTCCTTACTGTGACTGTCAAGTGTGGTGTTTTGGTTTTTTTTTTTTTTTTTTGATCAGAACCAATGCTATTTGTGAAAATAGAACCATACTGAAAATTAAGTGTTTTTTGAAATGAACATGTCCTTAAATATGCTTTAAAAGAAATGCACTGTTGCTCATGTGATGGCATTCTTTTGGTTAGGGAGCAATCATTTTTACTAAGAACAATTTTTAATTTGTAGATTTTTTAAAAATAATTATTTTAGTTTTGTATGTGTAAGGGTGGTGGTGGGGAAGATGGATAACTTCCTATTACATTAACTTATAATTGAATATGGAAACATTGTTTCATCTTCCTCTTTCAATTTGAAAAATAACAAGAAATCCCTTTGGGATTACTGCAAAAAACCATGGTCTTTATCTAAAGAGCACAGATATGAGTCTTCCAAATGCATGGGTCCTTCAAGTATTTTTCAGTATAGTGTGAAACTACAAGAGAAGATTTTAAAAAGTACAGAAAATCTCTTTAAAATGTCAATCGGCATACCATTTGTTGGTTTTATTTCCTGCAAACTATTTGTGTAGTTATTCTATACGCATTTTAGCCATCTTAATTTGCAGTTTGAAAACCTTGTATGTTATTCAGCGTAAATACAAAAGTCTTCAGTAGCCTAAATTGAGCTGAAGAATTGGAAGGCTATTGGCTAATATTAATTACATTGTTAGGGCCTTTGTGCAGGAATTCAAAATTTCTCTCTGTTATGATATTTGTTTATGTATAAATATATAGTTATTGCATGATATTGTAATAATAAATGTGTTTAACTTCTTCTGAAGGTGAGGGTGGTGAGATCATCTCCACCAAGTTCACAGTTCAAAGCCACATTTCAGGAGTCTTACCAGGTCTATAAACGTTACCAGATGGTTATTCACAAGGACCCACCTGATAAACCAACTATAAATCAGGTCAGAAAGCCAAATGAATTTTATGCAAAGCTCAGCTTCCCCTCCATTTCACGTGTCTTGTTTCTAGGAGAAACAAATGTGGATTTCATATCCATTGTATACTCAGGAGCATGTAAAATACTGTATCAAATAAAATCAACGTCCTGAAAGTGCAAACTCTTTTGATATCTCTTTGTGAGTGCCACAAATATTCGGTCTTAACTGCAGACAAAAAAGTTAAGGAAGTTAAGTGGGGATGCTATTGGGTAAGAGATGGAGAGGATGAGGCTTTTGGAGATAGATATTGTGGGCCTTATAAATACAAATCTCATAAGAACTAAAACCAGCTGGACACTTACCTTGATAACTAGTCTCATTGGCTTTGGTTCGAATGCTTTCATAAGGAGGAACAAGCATGATCAGGCCCAACACGTGAGTGAAGAATTTATCATATGTACAAATTGTTGGTTTAAGGTTCACAGAAGTTTTATAAACCTCTTCATTTTCAATTTAAGCCCTTCAAGAAGTAATCAGTGCACTCCATCTAAATTACACATCGTTACTGCTTCTTGTAATGAGCAGGCGGTGTGTAATAGTTAACTGTCAGACATATTACCTCTCTGATACTATGAAGAAAAAAATTCAGGCGATTGGAGAAAAAGTATATGTAGCAAGAATATGTAATTGCTAAACTGGGGCAATGAGTGATGTGCCATTAAAAATAATACATTTTAAAAGTCCTTGAGACTGTACAATGAGAATAAAATTTGTGGTTGATTTCTTAGATAACTTGGTCAAAAAACAGGTTGAATAAACTGATGCTTTGAAGTGTTCTAGTGTTATACAATTTTTATTCTTTAATGAAAGTATCAACAGTCAGTTTAAGCTTAGGGTTAGTTGTCAGACTTTCCCCTGTAGGATTTTCTTGTTACTACATTTAAAGTAGAAAACTGACTTCAGAGGCTTTGAAGTGGATAGGAGGAGGTCTTTCACTAGCCTTACCTTCAGAAGCATATTATCTGATTATATGCACTCAAAATAGTATGCTTGTATTTTCCTTGCTCTGAAGGTGAGGTTAGTTCCTGTCTCCTTTGAGGACCCCCAGTTCAAATCATCCTTCAACCAGTCAGCCACTTTATTTGCCAAGTATCAGATGGCTATACACAAGGATACACCTTCTGACTGTGGCGAAAATGAGGTACAGTTCCCTGCATGCCCCTTTATGAAAACATTTTTTTTTTTTAATGCACAGTTAAATGATGGGAAGTGGTGTCTCTGAGAGGGATTCTAAATACTAAAATATTGCAGTTTCCATTTGGGAGGGAAAGCATTGTGGTTTTCAGCAAGCTTCTGTTGCAGGCTTCAGCCCAAGGGAAACTGAGCTGAAGCGGGAGGGATTATGCACCATCATAACTTAAAAAACTGTTAGTAATGAGTTAAGTAGAGCTGCTGTGTGTACATGATGGGACTGAGATCTCCACTGGAAATGGGATAATGGTATGGAAGTGCTTTTTTGATGGCAAAAGCATCTTCTGCTTTAAAGCTGTTTGGTACCTTTTCCACATTTCTCCTTAATTTTTTGTTGTCTTGCTTAATTTAACAGGTGAAAGTTTTTAAAAAAATCTCAGTTTTATTCACATTTCATTGCTAAGCATAACTCTCAACTAGAACTCTCCTTTGCACTAGAAACAGTGCAAAAATATTCCCACCAGCTCATTGTCTGAGATTCAGTGAGAGTACATTGCATATGAATAAAGCCTGCTTTTAAAATGGTATTTACAGGATGCTAGTCCTAATCTAATAAGTAAAAAAAAACCAAAACAAAAAAACACCCCACCAATCTCATAGGGTTCTAAACAAGCAGCTATTCTGCATTTCTCTGGCCGGTGGCACAACATTAGCAGAATTAACAAAACTGCTACCTCCGATCTGTCATTTCTGTCTACTGCAACTGTAAGACTTCCATATTGATCAACTCTCTAGTCAGACTTTTCTGCTTTTGAGAGCAATACTTGCAGAAGTGATACCTAGCAAGCTGTGGCTGCTTTCCAGGTAGAATAATAAAACCACGTAATCATTTTTGGCTTTAGTTCAAAAGAGTGTAAGGAGAGCTTTTTTCTGAGAACTCTGTAATGCTACTGTGGAAAGCCATAAAATTTATTCCACTTTGTTTTGTAAAATAATAGGACTCATAACAATAAGTAGTAGTCTCTGCCCTTTTTATAATTACTGACATAAATTGGGTTAATTACAATAAGGTAAAAATTGGAAACATGCCAAGAAAGATTGAGCTATTTACTAGATTTGTACCAGGCTTTACCTGGCCTGATTAGGGACTTGATTTTTTTGCTACGGTGAATGTATTTCAGCCCTAATGCTTACATATAGCCTATATTCCACCATGCTTTTGCTCTGAAAATCTTGTTACTGCAGAGAGGGTGGTAAGAACTTCATATGCTTACTTATTCTTTGCTTAAAATTATGGATTTTTTTTTTAATACAATCATTATATCATGAAGAATCAAGAGCAAAATCATGATGGCTGCTTGCAGTTCAGTTCTGAATAGCAGTTAGCTCTCAGTTCGTCTAATCTCTGTTTGGGTCAGAGTGCGTGGCTTGGTGTAGACTTGGCTTTGATGGCCTTCATCACTCCTGGAACTTTGTTTTTTAACTGAGGGAGTCTGGGGAGGAAAGCTGATAAAGATGCATTAAGGACAGTTCTCGTTTCCACCACCTTCAGGTGTAAAGTCTGTCATGGGAGTTGCTGTTGAACAGGAAGGAGATGGATTTATATTCATACTGCTAATAGTTTAATGGATTTTTATCCTCTTTTTCCTTGTTACTTGCCATAGGTGTTTCCCTACTCTGCCTTTATCTTCTCTGTCTCATATTATGTTTGTTCAGGCTTAGTGTAATATTCCAGAGGAGACACAGAATCTTCTCCGAAGCTTCTAGTAAATGTAAAATCTCAGTCTGATGCTGATGGCTGTTAATTTAGGTCCTGCTTTAGCACTAGTAAATTGTCGTGTGTGTTCATGTGACTACCTGGCTAAGAAGGTCTTTCTATTCACAGGTAGTAGGCACTAAAGCTCCGTCACTTCAATCAAAACCATTTTCTATTTGATCCCTGCAGGAAGTAAACTGAAGAATACTTTACACA